CGCCTGAGACGAGAGGTAGCCATCCTGAGCCCGCAACGCTCGGAGACCAAACCCGTCCGCCTCCCCGGGGACCCGCGCGCTGTGTACCCCAGGCGTCCCCACTGTTGGGTAGGGTGCAAAGGTGGATTAACGGGGAACATTTCTAGTTTACAGCGCGACCCGCCGGAGGAAATGGGGTGCAGAGACCCCTTCGGAACCGAGCGGCTACCCACTTCTTACAGGGACGGAGACTCCGGTTCCGGCCAGGTGTGCCGGCCGGATCTTCGGAGTAATCTATGCTAATGAGGGTATTAGCAATCCGGCTGACGGCTGCGGCCGGGGGAGGCGGCGGGGGCACTGCCCTGCACCAATCCGAGGGCCGGGCTAAGGAGAGGTCGGAATGTTTGCTTACCTTTTCACCTCTGAGGTAGTCGCGGTTTTAACCCTGTTCACGGCCTACCTGGCGGAGGAAGCTGTGGGAATGTTTAATGCCCAAATTGTAAGAGCTGACAAGACTCCATTTAATCCAGGGTCCTCGTTTTGCAGATGGAGAAACTGAGGCCCAGAGAAAGTCACCCAGGTACGCAGGGCGCCAGTTCTCCCTTCTGGGGGCTCCGAAATGATGTCATTTACACTTTGCAACTTAAGATCGTCCTTTGATTATTAGTAAAAAAACGAGGAAACTGAGGCAGAGGGAGGGGCCCAGCTTGCTTTTCAGGGCAGCGACGTGCTCCAGGTAGCGACTAGAACTGCCTGGAAATGACGTCACTGCCCCTAGAGCTGGTGTTCCTTTGAATTTGGCTGGACAAGCCCCAGAATTTGACTTACCTTAAGGTCTGAGAACTGAAACCTGAGAAATTCTCTAAGAAATCTTACAGCACAAATTTTTAAAAATCTCAACTTGCTACCTATGTATTATAGATAGGCATCGGGAGAGTCTCTTTTTTTTCCTTTGTCCTAGCAACAAAACCAGAGGCTTTTTTGGCCAGGACACAGCCCTGGCCACACTAGAGGTGGAGGTCAAACTCTGAGGCTGGACAGGAAGGGATCCACAGCTGTTTACTGTTCCTCTACTTACTGTTCCTGAGGCCACAGTTGCAAAGTGGCAGAACTGGGACTCAGACTTGGGTCTTACTCCGAATCATTTGCTCTGTCCACTCAGCCGCACACAATGAAGCCATGGCATAGACTGAAAATTGTCCTTTCCGGATCAAGTTATTTGCTCTTGCCCTCTTTGGTCAGATTGCGCTGTCATTTTCTATGAGCCAGTAAAATGTTTCAGACCCACACAATTACAGACACCATTGCCGTCTATACAACCCCTTCATTGTGTGTGTGTGATGTGTCTAGGCCCCAAAATAACCGGCTCTTCCACAAAATACTGACTTCTGCGCATGGGCCACGAAGTTTCAATCACATTGTACGTGCGTGCCTGCGCGTGGTATTTTGTGGAAGAGCCACACTGAAGGGGCCAAAGAGCCGCACGTGGCTCGCGAGCTGCGGTTTGCCGACCACGGGTCTAGGGGATGGTGGAAGGACCCAGAAGTTGACCTGGGCTAAGATGTTTATTTTGGGTATTCCTAGACTTAAATATCCCAAATTATATTTTAAGTCATTCTGCTGCTCTGTAAGCACTTAATTATCCTGCAAGTAAGGGAGGCCCGAATAGAAAAACTGGAGGACATTCTCATTTAAGTCCCACCTTTCAACCAACCACAAATCTTCTCTGGCTCCCTCCCCCCCCTCCCATTTCTGCCTCTAGGCTCAGGAAGGAAGATCAGCAGATCTTGGCAACAGGCCAGGTGACCCGGGACAAGAGAGTCCTCTCCGGGATCTGGAGATTTGTTCCCTGCATGTGGGTTGCACATGGAAGCGTTGTCTCTGCCTTTTTCAAAGGGTTAGGAAGAAACGTTATATTTCACAACTTATTTTTTTCATTTCACTTTCAGCAGGCCATGGGATCAGACCCACTTTTCCATGTGATACCTTGGCTGGGGTGTAATTTGCAAGCCAAAATTATTGTAATACTATAGTATTATGCCAAGAACTTCCAGCACACTTGTGTATCTGCTTAACCCCTACACAGTCTGTATGTAATTAACCCTACTCAGCGTCCCAGCAATCATGGTGTATAGTCCCAGTTTATAGATGGGGTAACAGGCCTAAGGTGGTATTTACTTTAAGCAGGCAAAAAAGACATGGGTGTTTTTCTTTGGGAACTAGTAGAGACACATCTCACTAGACTCAGAGTCAGAGTCATCATTCTGAAAGGAAACAGAAAAATTTCCTAAGGACAACGTTGGAGAAGTAGTGTGTCAGGTGATTAGAGGAGACAGGGCCTTGCAGGAAAAGGATCCCAGCACTGGGAGGGTTACAGCTGGACAGACTCTCTTTTCAGAGCGCCCGCCTCTCTGTTTTCAGAAGGAAAACTGGGAGCCATGAAGGGAAGAGATTGAGTTAAGAGGCACAGCTGGGATTGGCACCCAATCTCTTGACATCACAAACCCAACACTATGTCCATCATTCTTGGCATTTTTTAATTTTTGTGTCCCCCTCCCACCTCCTCCCCTCCCCTCCCTGGTTTTCTTACTGGAAGGATTCGGTATGGCCCTGTTTCAGTTTCTGCCCTCTCTCAACTTCTCACTTTAGACCAAGATGGGGACATGGCAGCTCTTTTTTCTGTACCTCCCTCCAGTATCTGGAGGTAGACTATACATGGGTAGAGGCCTGGAAAAATTGTGCCACCAACCAAACAGACTCATCTACTTTTTTCATTTCAGTCCACCAAATGTTAATGTCAGTTCCCTGCTGTGTGCCAGGCCCCAGGGCAGGAAGGAGTCTGGGTCAGAAGCATAGATTTGGAAGTCCTTAGTGCTCAATGAAGATCTGAAGCAAAACTATCCGTCATCATTGACACCTTCTTTCATTCCTACTCCATGCTACCCATGAGCAAGGAGTATGCAGAATCCTACCACATATCTCAGCTGCCTCCAACTGTCCTTCATCTCTTGCCTGTGTCATTGCAGGTGTCTCTTACTCATTTCCCTGCTTCTGTCTCAGCAGTCAGTGATCCTATTAAAAGAATATGTTTATGGCTCTCTGCTCAAATTTCCCATTAAATCCCCATTTCCCTAATAGTACATGCCCAAATCCTCACAGGGCTCATAAGGCCTTACCTGATCTCGTCCCCTTAAATTTCTGACCTCATCTTCTTTTTTTTTTCCTGCTCCAAACAGGCTGCCTCTTCCTCGGGGCTTTTGCACTAGCTTTCCTAGCCCGACATGCTTGCGCCCAGCTGTCTCCATGACTCACCCCTCACTCCCTTCAGGTTTTATTTAAACATCACTACTCAGTGAGGTCTCCCCTGGGCAACTTATCTAGAATTGTCCCCACTCAACAATTAGTTTCACTCATCCCCATTTCACACACAGCATATTTTACTGATTTTTCTTGTTTATTCGTTGTCTTGCCCCATGATGGGAAAGAGATCTTTCCTCTTTGTTGACTGCATATCTCCAGCATCCAGAACAGTGATTGACACCTAGTAAGCACCCAATTAATATTTGGTGAATGAGTGAATGTGAGTGGTTGATCATGAAGGGTAAGATGGCAAAGGGCTAAAGCTTGACATTTCTGCCTCAGAACTGGTGCTTGTGGTTATTAGCATTGGTCTGGAGGTGGGAACATGTCAGACTTACTGTGTTCTGGGATTCTATTCCCAGATTATCTCTCTTTTTATTTTATTTATATATATTGATTTCAGAGAGGAAGAGAGAGAGAGAGAGAGAGACAGAGAAACATCAATGATGAGAGAGAATCATTGATCTGGTGCCTCCTGCATGCCTCCTATTGCGCAACCCTGACATGTGCCCTGACCGGGAATGGAGCCATGACCTCCTGGTTTAGATCAATGTTCAACTACTGAGCAATACCAGCTGGGCTATTTTTTTATTAAAATTATTACAGATGTTCCTCATTTCTCTCCCTTTGCCTCCCTTCACCCTACCTTGCCCTCCTGTCCCTCAGGCCCTAACCACACTGTTGTCTGTGTCCATGTGCTATGCATATATGTTCTTGGATGGCAATTCTCTTTACCTTCTTTTGTCCAGTCCACCACACCCACCTCCCCTCTGGCATCTGTCAGTCTGTGCCATGCATCCACGACTCTGGTTCTATTTTGTTCGTCAGTTTATTTTGTTCATTAGATTCAACATATAAGTGAGATCATATGGTAGTTGTCTTTGACTGGCTTTTTTCATTTTGCATTATAATTTCCAGGTCCATCTATGCTGTTGCAAAAGGCAAAGACCGTGTCTCTTAAGCCGAGAAAGCAGAACGAGAATCTTCCCTGTCCTCCTAGCATCCAGATGGGGCTCCAGGAGGGTTGTGGCGCCCAGGCAGCCTCTTCCACGCAAGTCCCAGTCATGCTGACATGCAAGCCTGTCTGCAGTGTCGCTGAGCCAGCTGTTGTTCCCTCCACCCAGGTACAACTAATCTTAGGAATCTCATTACTGGTTGAAAAATAATCCTCTGTATCTAGATTAAAGGCTGTGTTTTGACCATTACCGCACATTGAGCATTGAGCCGACAGTTTAATTGAGCTGTTTATGCCGCTGCCTTGATCTCTTCCCAGAGAATTTACAACTAATTCCGAGTGTCTCTACGAATTAAGTGGGCCTCTCCCAACATGCTTTGCCTGTAGTTTGCCTGTGCCAAGTCCCACTTGTCCTTGTGTTACCCAATTATGGGCTCTCAGCTCACAGCTGTCACTGGCTAGTACCACTTCCAGCTCACATCCTCCCTGAGGTGGCCTTAAGATTATGGCCCTGAGAATGGCCATAGCCCAGGACAGCCTCTGTGATATCTGCAACAGAAAGGTGGGTGGAGGTGAGAATTGAAAAGGGAGTAGAAAAGACAGAGTTCCTATCTACCCCGTTGAAGTCACCTCCAGGCAACTGACAATAACCCCCTAACAAGAAAAGGGTATGAGTACCTTTAGCACAGTTAAGCGTGATGGAAGAAAAAGAATTCTGGACTGAGGTTGAGACTTCCTCTGTGTCTTCAGGGACTCTTGGTGTTAATATTTATGAAATGGGACATGGCAGGTCATTGTTTCTCATTCTGTGTTATGGAAGTGTCTAAGGGTAGGGATGCCATATTTAGGGGGAAAAAATAACATTAAAGGACATCCATGCAATATTTGGGACATACGTATAGTAAAATATTATTAGTTGTTTATAGAAATTCAAATTTAACTGGGTGTCCTATATTTTATCTGGGGATCTCAAGGGTCCCGGGGGGGGGGGGGGGGAAACAGGCCCCC